CTGAGCCCATGAAGGGGCAGAGGAGTGGTGGACGCCAGATTATGAATCCTGCTGGGCTTTCACATAGGTCACGCAGACCACTGGGTTATGTAAAATGGTTGAGCTCATACCATGTTAGTATCATTAAAAGAAGAATATGGGGCTTCCCTGGTGGCGCAGTGGTTGGGAGTCCACCTGCCGACGCAGGGGACATGGGTTCGTGCCCCGGTCCGGGAGGATCCCACGTGCCGCGGAGCGGCTGGGCCCGTGAGCCATGGCTGCTGAGCCTGCGCGTCCGGAGCCCGTGCTCCGCAGCGGGAGAGGCCACAACAGTGAGAGGCCCGCGTACCGCAAAAAAAGAGAAAAAACAAGTTGCGATCATCCCCAGAGGGATACCTATGATAAGAATAAAGACTTTATCCAAGCTCCCCTCCTCCTGCAGATAAATATCACAGAGTGACCTGAATCGTAAGAGGAATGGGAGAAAAAGAACAAAATTGTCATTGTTTTGGAGCCACCTATTTGTCAGGGGATGGATTGGAGGGCCTTTGAGAGAAGACCTGGAGGGCGCTGATCCGACCGTCAGTGGCCCCATGGGTTATGCTCTCAGCTTGGCCCCACAGGAGCATCCTCAGTGTTGCTGCCCCAGCTGCCCCTCCTGAGCTGGAGTGTCCGATGAGTCGTGCTGACCGATGCCTTTGAGAACAGAGCAAGAAACGACTTCTGGAGAAGACTCCTGTGGCACTTGGGGTTTCTCGGACTCGGAGTTGTGTCTGGGGGCAGATAGGACAGTCCAGCGGCTTCCTTGGCTTTGTGTTCATGCTGTCTGTCCCTCAGTGAGCTCCCCTCCATGTCACTCACACGCTTGTCATTCAGGACAGCGCTCAGAAACATGCAGCTTTTGTTCCAGATGGTGTGAGCGGGCGTGTGCTTGTTTGCTGTTATTCCATCTGAAGCCACGTGGGGTATATTGCCAGATTTTCAGTTTAATCCAGCAGACACAATCAGAATTGACACGTTAAAAAATCCTAGCTTTAGTTTCCCTAACTAGAGCCAAGATATTTATTCGAACAGTTTATTCAAATTAGTGTATTTTTCTTACAAGCAAGTCATCTCTGCCCTGAACAGCCGCCCCTGGTCCTGGCATTTTGTGACCAGCCTGTGCCATCACATCGTGCTCTGGTCTCCGGGCTCCATGGAGTGGGGTTCAGGGAGTCCCCACTGCATTAGCATATTTCAGGTCACATGTTTCACTCACCCCTCCCCCCCAGCAATGGCTGATGGGGGTTCCAGTGGGTGGCACTACAGTTACTTGATGAGGGATGTGGCCCTCCCATCCCTGTTGGCATCTTATTTTGAGGTGTGCCTGGCTGCTGTACCGTGGGGAGGGCACAAAAGGATTTAAACAGCATCTCCCTCTGAGATCCATATGGGCCTCTAACCATGTTCATTTCAGATCCTGTGTCCCCTGCTGCCAAGCCCCCCACCCTGGCCCCCGAGATGAATATTTGAGCACCAGATGGGCTCTCCCAAGAAGCAGTGCCTCCTGCCTCTCTGGAAACAACCCCGGCTGTTTATTATGAGATGCAGTTGTCATGGTGATGAGTGGTCGGAGGGAGTTAGAGAAAATGTTGGCCTGGAGGGAAGGGTCGAGCCTATGGAAGCTTTGGGGAGAAGCTGCCCTTGTACGTGGACCTGAGACCTTGTGTTGCCTGTGGTCACCACGTGCTGTGGCCCCACACTGAGTTGTCTGGGGGATGGTGTAGGGCACTGACTTCCAGCCTGGGTTCCCCTGGCCAAGCCCGAACTGTGTCCCCCAGAAGGGATACCTCTTCCATTTGCCAGAGACACCCAACACAAGGCCAGCGGCGGTCCTGGTGTTGCCGTTTCCCACTATGTATTCAGCACCTTGATGACAGTCTGTTGCCCCATATGATGGTCCTCTTTCTGCCAGAAAAATTAGGTTCTAGCCCAATCTGTAACATTTGTAGGAGTGTTATCTTAGTACTTTGGGGCTGCTAAAACAGAATACCATAAACTGGGGGACTTAGAAACAACAGGCATTTACTTCTTAGTTCTAGAGGCTGGAAGTCCAAGATCAAGGCGCTGGCAGATGTGGTGTTTGGTGAGAACCCAGTTCCCTAAACAGCCATCTTCTTTTACATCCTCACGTGGCAGGGGGGGCGAGGAAGCTCTCTGAGATCCCCTTTATAAGGGCACTAATCGCATTCATGAGGACCCACCCTCATGAGCTCATCTAATCCTAATCACCTCCTAACAGCCCATCTCCTAATAGCATTGCCCTGGGGGTTAGGTTTCAACATATGAATTTTGGCGGTGGGGGGTGGGGGACACAAATACTCAGTGTGTACTAGGTGTGGTTGACCCTGTTTCCATTTTTCAGTTGATTGGTTGGTTTCTTTGGGTTTTTGGAGATTCCTGGTGCCTGTTTGGCTCCTTGTAAGGCAGTGCAGGCCTTCAGGAAATGAAGTTTGTGAACTCAGCCTAGGGACGGTCACCAGATTAGAAATATCGCAAACAAGAAGGTAAAATACTGATGTGCTCTAAGTGGATCTTGAAATCGGGAGGTGTACAGGACAGCAGAGGGTTGTCTGGGGCATGTCCCACATTAGAGCCTTGCTTAAGGCAGACGGGAGCACCCTTTGAGGTGAAAGACCCCTTTGGACATTACAGGAGGTTTTTCCTGGTGTGTCTTGTCCACAGCGGGAGGTGCAGAGCCAGTAGGGCTGTGGCAGGAGCCCATTAGGAGTTCGGGAAGAAGCCTGGCTCCAGTGGGGCCCTGGCAGGAGTGACCCCTTCAGGCTCAGCCCTGCAGGAAGGGGCGCTGTCTGCTCAGCTCGGGTAGCATGGATCCATGGGGGATAGATTAGACCTGATAGGAGGATGGGGCCAGACCTGAAAGGAGGGCTGTGATGGGTGGAGCAGGGGGCCCCAGAGCCCTGCCTCGGGACAGACCAGAACAGCGGGGCCAGGTCGGGGCCCACCGGCGCCGTCTGGGAGCTCACGGGGCTTTGGGGTAGGGGCAGTCCTTTGGGCTTCCAGCAAGGAAGAGGGGACAAAGCAGACATCTGACTCTCCTGGCCCCAGCTGTGCCCTGCACCCCCTCTGCTCTGGGAAGGCCTCATTTCTTCCTGTGGGTTGAGCGAGCCCAGATTGCTCTCGGGATGTGGCACAAATCTGCCCGGTCCTTAATGCCCAGCCAGCTTTGTCCACCTTCTGTCTGAGCCATCCCCTCCACGCCCACGGCCTCTGAAGCCCAGTGGTACCTGCAGTCATGGAGAGGATCCCTGGTCTGCCTGGTGCACAACCCCCCTGTTCCCTTCAGGGCGAGGACGGTGGGCCTGGGTCTTTTCATTTTTCTCTAACCCCCGCACAGAGATCTAATGAAGTCACAGGCCATGACAGTGACAGTCTAGGGCAGGGAAGACACAGCATATGGCTGTGCTGCCTGAGCCTGTGGGTACCTGGCCATTCCTGTCCACACCTGGAGCCTCAGTCCTCTTGCCTGTAAAGCAGGAA